TTGAATAGAGTCATACACGTGGAAAGCGAGGACTCAATAGCAGATTTCATCAGACATCAGCGCGCAGTCTATTGCCGACTGCCTGTTTTCAAAGCTTCAAAGTTTCGTTGTTTCACAATCACCGCATTTCACGCTGTCCGCTTTGATCGCGGGCCATGTTCCCACTATATGGCCAGCAAACCTGCTCGCATCTTCGAATTGGGGGCTCACGTTCATTAACAATATAACTTCGCCTGTCTTCCTGAACTCTGACACCGTAATAACAGTCCACTCTCTTGCCTGAAATTATTCACTGTCCGCAGGTAAGCTATGTTAGCCTTAGCAATTCTTTTCCCGTAACCATCCCCTTCAGCTGGAGACGCTCCCTTGAAGTAAGTTTTATATGCTGCGCCAACTCGACTTCCTGGGAATGACCACGCCCACCCTGCGTAACTTTTTAAAAGGGGGGGGGGGGATATTGCAACCCTCCCAAATGTGACCTGGAGTGACTGGTGGTTCTTCTGTATCACCAGGATGATTTTCAGTAAGAATACATATAGGTATGCTTATAAAATTGTTACCGATTTAGTTGTTTTACAGTCTTCGAACATTAACCCCGTATTCTAGAACCTCCCTTCACTCGACGCTTAGTCTTCACTTGATGGATGGATGGATGCATTGATGTGGCTGTACCCTTTAGATCGGGCAGCAGCTAACGCCACCTAGCCGTAATACTTAGTGAACTAACCATTACATTTATCTTTTTTTCCTTTAAATAATAAAGTTGAGGATTCGTACTTCGCAGTGAAGGGTTTAATTTTCACTCGTGCCTTGACTTTAGCCACCAATCAGATAACCTCCTTCTAGTTAAGTCTACCCGCTTAAAGTCTATTTTGCCCTCACTGTCCCTAAATCCCAGTGCTTTGAAAAACTCTGCGCCATCATCCTGAACTATAGGGTGAAGCCCTTTACAGAACATTATCAAGTGTTCGGCAGTTTCTTCTTCCTCTCCACACGCACTGCATACTGTGTCGACCCCTTCGTATTTGGCCCGACATGTCTTCGTTCGCAGTACTCCCGTCCTGGCCTCAAACAGTAGAGAACTACCCCGAGTATTATCATAGATCCTTTCCTTGGCAATTTCCTGCTTAAAAGTTCGATAGATCTCTAGTGCGGACTTCTTAATCATGCCCATTCTCCACATGTCAGTCTCCGTTTCCTTCACTTTTTTCTTAACCGATAGTTCTTTTTGGTTTGGCCACCTGCTGTTTTCTAAGTATTTACCAGTCAACTTCCTGGTTCGCTTCCTCCATTTGGTATCGACATTCTTCATGTACAAGTAGCTGAAAACCTTCCAAGCCCAACGCTCTTCCCCCATTTCTCTCAATCGCTTCTCAAATTTTATCTTGCTGCTAGCTTCCCTGCCCTCAAATGATGTCCATCCCATATCACCTTGTACTCCCTGATTTGGTGTATTCCCGTGAGCTCCTAAAGCAAGCCTACCTATTCCACGTTGCTTAATTTCTAATCTTGCTTGAACTTCTGATCTCATGCACAAGACCGCATTGCTGAACGTCAGCCCAGGAACCATGACCCCTTTCCATATTCCTCTCACAACATCATACCTATTGTAATTCCACAGTGCCCTATTTTTCATGACTGCTGCATTCCTGTTACCTTTAGTCGTCACGTATATTTCGTGTTCCCTCAGATAGTCGGTCCCATTGCTTATCCATACGCCCAGATATTTGTATTTATCTGTTATCTCTAGCGTGACCTCCTGTATTCTAAGCTCACTACCTTCGTTGTCATTGAAAATCATGACTGCTGATTTTTCCCTACTGAATCTAAAATCTAACCTATCTCCCTCATTACCACAGATGTCCATCAATCTCTGCAAATCTTCCTTGTTGTTGGCCATTAGCACTATATCATCTCCGTACATTAATGCTGGTAGTGCCTGATCAATAAGTTTTCCTTGTTTGACTAAAGAGAGGTTGAAGCCCAGTCCACTTCCCTCTAATTTTGCCTCTAATCCTTGTAGGTACATCATGAATAATAAGGGTGACAGGGGGCACCCCTGCCTAAGCCCCCGTTTTACCTCTGCAGGCTTGGATACCTGTTTTTCCCACTTTATAACTACATTGTTACCTTTATAGACATCCTTTAAAAGGTTAGTGACTACGTGTTCCACGCCTAGTGTGTCCAGTATTCCCCACAATTCCTCTTGAACCACGCTATCGTACGCTCCCTTGATATCCAAAAATGCTAGCCACAGGGGCCTGTGTTCTTTTTCTGCTATTTCGATGCACTGCGTCAGTGAGAACAGATTGTCTTCCAACCTCCTGTGTTTCCGAAACCCATTCTGCAGTTCCCCCAGCACCCCCTCATCCTCTATCCACGCCTGCAGTCTTTCCTTTATAATCTGCATCGCCAGCCTGTAGACCACTGATGTCACTGTTATAGGACGGTAGTTGTTTATGTCAGCTTTGTCCCCCTTTCCTTTATAGATCATGCTCATCCTGCTAAGTTTCCATCCATCGGGAACTTCACCATCGATTATTATTGTACTCACTGCCTCTCTCAAAGCCTGCTTAGACTTCGGACCTAATGTTTTTATCAGCCTAATTGGAATGCCATCTGGGCCTGTTGATGTACTACTAGGAACCCTTTTCTCAGCCCTTTCCCACTCTTTTTGTGAAAATGGAGCCATTGCACCACTTGATTCGTCTTTGTCTATTGTGGTGCATAAAGTACTTCTTTGTTGAAATTTTTCTGTCACCCTTGTTCTTATATATTCAATAGCTTCGTCCCCTTCTAGCCTAGCACCTTGGGCTGTAGTTATAAAGTTCTGCTCTAGGCTCGTCTCATTTCTTAGGGAGTTTAGATGGTTCCAAAATTTCGCAGCTGCCTTTCTATCTTTTTTATGTACTTCTGCCAGCCACTGAGCTCCCTTCCTTCTAATCGTTTCATTGATCAGAAGGGATGCATCCCTTCTACAGCTTAGAAAGGTTGCCCATTTTCTTTCCACATCATCTGTCGGTTCACCCCACTGCTTAGCATGTCTGTGTTCCCTAGAGGCTTCCTGGCGTTTTGCTATGGCTCTCTTAACTTCCTCATCCCACCAACTTTTGGGTTTGTGTCTTCTTTTCCGGGGTGACTTGTCACGCGTCTTAGCAAGCTCTATCTCAAAGAGTCTAATTAGATTCGTGTATGTCCACACTGTCTTATTATCCTCCGTGATTACTTTCTCAATTTGTTTAGTGGCTATTTCAATTTGCCTTTCTGGATAAAATTTTTCCTGTAGTTGCTCATCTTGTCTCCTTCCCACTTTCACTGCTCTTCCAAAACTTAGCTTGATACGTTTGTGATCGCTACCCAAACTTCTGGAGCCACCTTCATCTATGTGCATTTCCCTGAGCTTATCATACATCCTATGTGACATCAGTGCATAATCTATCGTCGACTGAAGCCTTCCTACCTCCCATGTTATTTGCCCTTCACACTTCTCGGTACTGTTGCAAATGATCAAATCAAGCCTTTCACACATATACATGATCATTTTGCCTGTCGGGTCGGTATACCCATCTATATCTTCTATGTGCGCATTCATGTCTCCTAGTATAATTATCTCGCACTCTCTTCCTAACTCCTGAATGTCCTTTGATATACACTCTACCATTGCCTGGTTTTCCTCTCTGGCTTTTGCTCCCGTCCACAAGTACACGAAACCAAGGAGTGTCATTTGACCTGCCACTTTCCCTTTTAGCCATAAATGTTCCTTGCACTCCTGCTTGACCCTTTGCCAGTCTGTAGTTTTATGAATGAATGCCCCAATACCACCCCCCTTTCTGCTGCCTTCTGTTCTATTACAATACTCCCACGCATAGTCCGGATTGTTCGGAGGTTGTTCCATGTCCCTGAGATGTGTTTCTACAAAACCGTATACCATCGGCCTCTCTTCCCTTAGCTGTTCTTCTATCTCTTCCCACTTCAGCCTGTTCCTACCACCCTGCATGTTAATATACCCTATGTCTGAATTGGCTCGGCGCTCGTGGCTACGTCTATTTATGGCCCGGACTCTACGTATCTTAGATATTGGTGCCACTTTGGAATCGTATCTGTCCATACTACCTGTCGAAGAGGCTCCCTGGTTGTTTTCCTCGTTACTAGCTATCCTGCACCCTGAAGGGCTCGCTTGCCCCCCAAAAAAGCTACTGCGCGTCCTGCAAGTCGCCAACCCACCTCATGACCTAGCCGCCCATCGAAGTGAATTCTGTCTCGTTGAAAACCCCCCCACCTATGCACCTCTCTGTTTATTTCCACCACCCCAAAGCCTTTCTCTCGACTCATCCGCCATATCTCTTGGTTTGCGTTGACCACCGCTCTTTGCAGGTTGCTATCACGCACCGGTACCTCCGGTATCGTGCATATCACTACCTGCACCTTAGGAAAAGTGGCGCGCATGTCATCGAAAGCCGATAGGAGCGCCATCTCTAGGCACGGCAAGTCACTGCATATCAGCAATAGTCTGCTGCGATTCTTGAGTAGCGCAGCGTCATTTTCCACCGAGCGGTGACGCAGTGCTCAACTCTGTCAAGTGAAGGGTGAAAGTCGAGTCGAGGATCGTTTGTGAATACCGGGGTTAGTATCGTTTCGGCCGCCTCACATATTTTTTGCGACTAACAACGGCCACAACGTAACGTAGTTGGCAATAGCTGCGATAGCCCCATGGTTTAAGCAAGAATGGGCAACGCGCATGAAACATAAGGCCTTCTTCTACAAAGCGGCGATGAAGGACATTTCTTTTCCATACACACTTGCCGTGGCTAACCCCTTCCCAAGGCCTCCCGTTATGAAGTTAGGAATCATTAAGCGTTCCGCATACAGGCCGATCGTTAGCCAGGATTTGGGTCAAAATATAATTACCCTTTACAGCCACTCGTACGAAAACGAATTAATATAGTAGACTGGAATGACTCAGAATCCTCGCGTTTTTTCTCCTCCTCTTTCTGACGCACCATTCCAATCACTCCGTAGTTGTGTGCAGCCGGGCCGTGCTTGTAGAACACCGGGCCGCCAATCACGTTGGCCGGAACAAACACCTCGGTGAGCAACACCCCGTAGAAGGCCGCCCCACTGCCCGCAGTGAATACGATGTCCGACGACGAGTTACTGGTCACCGCTAGGCGACTCACAATGCGTGCCGCGCTGAGCCAGGCGCGCCAGAAGGAGGCGCCACTCGGCGACTCGGGGAATTCGGCGTAGCGCGCGTCCATCTCGCGCGCGTTTCGCAAGCCGTGCGGGAACCCGTTGGCCAATCGCATCGCGTGCAGCTTGTCGAGGGCGAACTTGACAGCACGTCGAGCCACGAGCTGCTCCTCAGCTGACGCTCGTAGGACGTCTTGAGCCGCGAGTAGATGCGGTCCACTTCCGCTAGGTAGTCCTCGGGCACGGCTGCATAACGCGAGGCAAGCGGGGAAACACACTGGGCTTCTATGGCATTCAGCAGAGACGAAAAAAAAAAAGTCAGTTTTGTCGCAAGGTTGAAACAGTGAACGCGATAGCGATAAATTATAATGTCCCTCGAAAGAGAACTAAGCAGCTCGAAACGTGCAGGGAGCTGCTCAAGCACAAAGGACGCTCGAAAAGAACACACACGGACGAGCGCGAACTAAAAACTGTCATACCTCGATAATTGCAGCGCGCTGCTCAAGAGCAAAGCAGAACGCACGAAAATAGCGTGCAGGTATAGGCTGCAGGACGAGTGCAAAACAGCTGTCGAAGTTGTTACTTATTTGTATTTGGGGAGCACGCTGCGAATATTGACTGTGCGCAGCCAACTACTTCTACACTTTGGGTCTTTTAGCTAAGCAGCCCACTCCTTTCGCAAGCTCGGCCACTGCAGCGACCACAATGACCTTTGTGTACTTTGTAAATTCAGCGCAAACTTTGCGCTAAATGCGCAATACGTACAAACCACCCCTTCCCCCTTCCAAGATAAGCGCACGCGCACACCATGCCCTGCAGGTCAAAGTACAGTTAGTGCAGGTAGAAGGCATGCACGCACGCATCGCAACTTGGGTGAAAGACGAGCTAGGAGACGACAAGGCAGTGCAGGCCATGCACGCACGCATTGAAGCTTTGGGGAAAAACGAGCTGGGAGACAACTGCCAACAACAGCTGACAACTTGAGCATGTAAAAGATTTTAAGTATCTCGGTGTTGCGTTTGACAGTCAATTACACTGGAAAAAACAAATAAATTCAGTATGTACTAAGCTAGCATCTGGCAGCAGTATGCTACTGGCTGGAAAAAACAAATAAATTCAGTATGTACTAAGCTAGCATCTGGCAGCAGTATGCTACTGGCTGCTAGAAATTATTTTCATAGCAACATTCTCTGAGTTCTTCATTTCTCATTTGTTCATTGTCATCTATCATACTGCTTAGACTCGTAGGGAAGGACCTTTAAAACTTATCTCGATGCCATCCACATGCATATTACAAAAGCGAGCGCTTAGAATAATAGATTATGCGGCATATAATGATCCCAGCGCGCCTTTGTTTCACAAGTTGGAAATTCTACCATTTGATTACGTATGGCAACATAAAACGCAGTCACCATCAGTAATGCCATTGCACGCAGTGTACCTTTATATTTATCTATTTTTCTTTCTTCTACCGCGTCACAATACATGACATCGCGGAATTTCAATTTTTTTGCTACTAATAACGTCTTTGGTGAACGCTTACTACATTCGTAGGAGCTAAAGTGTGGAGAACATACCGCTTCAGACTAAAAATAGTAGGGCTTTCTGAAGCGCACTTGAAAATTATTCGCTACATGAAGAACGATAGTAATATGCATGTACAAAACCTCACACATATTTTGATGTATCGTCTGTACTTTTTTTGTTTGATTATGAACAAAGTGTAACAATGTGTAATCTTTAGGTTTCCGTACGTGCTATCATGCATTTACGTCACCTTAAATTTTCATGAACTCTCGTGTACTTTTGTTCGTTTTCTTGAAAAAGAGTTTTTTTTTTTTGATGTTCTGATTTTTTTATAGAAATTGTATTCTGCTTGTATATCTTTTTCTGTTAGACCCCCTACTCGCCTATGGCTATGGGTCTAATCAGTGTAGTGCATTTACATGAACTGTATTCAAAACAACATCAATAAATCTTGAATGTTGAATCTTGAATTAAAAAAACTGTATGATGATATCAGGCTTTAAAGGCGCAAGGGACATGCTTGGCCAAATAGCGTTATCAAAGATGGCTAAAGAGGAACAATGGTCCGAGACTTACGATCTATATATATGATAATATGACGTGGCTGTATATGGGGGTCTAAAATTCCGCGCCCCATGGCGGGTAAGGCACATAACTATTAAAATCATGAGGGTGACGTGAAATGTGTCTAGCGGGAATGAATGGGGGTTCTCGTGAAATAAAAATTATGGTGGACACATATGACATTAGCACAAATACCTCGTGAACGTCCCTGTGCCCAAGTATCAGAGATGCTTGTGGTTTTTCGTGTAACATTCCAATTTCTTACTATCGCATTCGTTGCTGCGCGCTTGTGGCGAAACTGTGACGTATAATAATAATAATAATAATAATAATAATAATAATAATAATAATAATAATAATAATAATAATAATAATAATAATAATAATAATAATAATAATAATAATAATAATAATCACTGGCAGATGTTCACGATTGACCCCAGCTTAATTCGTCGGAGTTACGCAACACACTACTGCACGTGTACGCGCGACCTGCCATTGCTATCGTTTACTTTTAATCGCTTTCGTTCCGGAACTTTCTGTACCACAAGAGAGTCGAGTGACGTTTCCCAGCTCTTGAGAGGAAACATTTGCACTCGCGAAATATGCTCCACGAAATATACCCACGAAATATACCCACGAAATATACACCCACAAAATTGCACCCACGAAATATACCCAGAGAATAAGCTCAATACGCGTACCTTTCAGCAGGTGTACTCCCATGAGCGGTGCCTCCATGACCTGCGAGACCTTCATGAGACACTTGTACCAAACGGCGTTGCCAGACAACACGCCGAACGTCTCGCTGCTGCGGCCGAAGCCGGCGAGCTGGCGCACGATGCTCCAGGATACGAGACGGTGAAACTCGGCTTCCCTGCCTTGCGTCACAAGCAACTTGAGAAGTGCGTGGGCGTCGGGGTTGACGTAGACACCGTCGTCGCTCGTGTAGCGACCCAGCGAGTATTTGTCTATGATGCGCTCGAATTCGTCTGCGACAAAATACGTTAATTACGAATCTCTATAAACCGCAGAAGAAGGGATACAATGGAAAGAGATGCAGCACCGCTTAATTACCCACCTAATTGCTTGTGTATGTACATACAGCGAAAACGCCAGGACGCGCGCACACAAGCACACCTGCACGCATACAGTTTTTTTTTTCCTTGTTAAAGTGAGTTACGCTGTCATTCGTGGCCCAGCTATAGATAAAAGCTAGCCTAAAAATAAGCCACCATCGATATGAAATTAATTACACTGAAAATCGTAGCAGTTGGCATAACTAACGTCCTCCAAAGCAAAGAACTTTTATTACTTATTAACGCCCATGTTTATGACCCCAGAAAAAAAAAACGACGGAAGAGTACGCGGAAAGCAGAGCCTTGCTGAACTTTTCTCACCTGCCTGCTGCTGTTCCGGGTGCAGGATGTTCCCTACTCATACGAAAGACCAGTTCTCGTCCACGCGGCTTTTCTCTTTGATTAAAAACGTTTGAACTGCTAAGGAAAATGCAAGCATTGTGTCGCTTGCTTTACTGATCGAACAGTCACATGTCGCATGACACGGTAGAGACAACAATCATAATGGTTCATTCACGTTTATTTCGTTAAGTGGTCGAACAGTTGGTCCTCTGAATAGTTAATCATTTTGCATAATTGAACCATTGAAATGACCATGCATGTGGTGTGCAATTGAATGTGGAGTGAGAGAGAGTCTCATTAAAACTTCTTGCTGAGATAAACAATATGATAAATAAAATGTGTTTAGCGATTTTGAGTACTTGGTACTCTATCTATACTATTCGAGAAGCCAAGTATGTTAAGCAAAAGTGTTTAATGATTTGAAGCACTTGTATCTCTACTAGAGGAGGGCAGAGAGCTGTCCCTAAAACAGCGAAATCAGCATATACCGACTGTGTGTCTAGAAAAAAGTTGTTAATGATTTAGATCACTCGGTACTCGACTATGGGAGAGCATAAGCTGTCCCGTGGGCCTCACACTCGATGAGGCCGTCGTGACAAGAATTATGCCGTGAACGAGCTCACAAGTCAACATTAGCGGCGTAGAAGTATGTTTAGAAAAGAAAATGATAGAGTACTAGGTACTCTACTATGGAAGAGCATAAAGCTGTTCCTTGGGCCTCCCACTTGATCAGACCGTGTTGACAAAAAATTACGTCGTGTGAGAATTCAGATATAAATGTCTCAATTTTTTTTATAAATGCCTAGGTATTTTTACTTTTAGTGACACGAGCACCGAGAAGCACCCTTCCTAATCTTCCAGACCACCCAGAATGTGCCGGGGCCCGAAAATCCAGATATAAAATAAAAACATAGGTGAAAGAAATGAAATGGGTTAAAGATAGGGATTTGATGTAGTGGTTACTATGTGGGGTTTAACGTCCCAAAAGTCACCATATAATTATCAGAGACGCCGTAGTGGAGGAATCCGGAGATTTCGACCACCTGAGGTTCTTTAACATGCACCCAAATCTGAGCACACGGGCCTACAACATTTCAACCTCAATCGGAAATGCAGCCGCCGCATCCGGGATTCGGTCCCGCGACCTGCGGGTCAGCAGCCGAGTAACCTTAGCCACTAGACCACCGTGGCGGGGCGTAGGGGTTTAATGTAATAGTGCACGTTAAGGTATGTCTTAAGTTGAAATTTGAGTAGAACTTGTAGAAAGTCGTGTAAAGGATTTAAATCTCGGAAAACCTATCGAATGGAGCTTGTTTTGGCACCCGACAGGCAAGACAAAAATATTGCGCATACTTAAACGTGGCTTCGGCAGCGCCTGAAATATGAATACTGAAAACGTATGTTAAAATGATGGAACCATTGCGATCGAGTGCCACCCACAGACCCTTTAAGCCCTGCAGTAGGGTCGCTTTAAACATTTTTGTTTTTGGCGCTTCTATAACACACTCAGCTATAGAGCGCAGTCAAAGTCGAGACAGGAAAGTTGATCGTAATGTATGAATGAGAATTTTCTCTACCTGAATCTAATCCGATCCGGGCCTTAACTGTGAGGAAGTTGAACGGGTACCAACACCTTCAAAAAATTTTCCATGCATCCACTTTTTCGGGTGATAATAAAGTACATATACCCACCTTCACACCGACCGCCACTTTCTAAAGTTAGCTGTTCTACACATAAACACCCCTTGAAATAAAAAACATTCTGGGTACGGTCCTGAGTTTGATCATGAATAAAAAAAAACACCATTTAGCAGCGCTGGATCGCACGATGGAGCTTATGTATACCCGGCCAGATCGCGATCGAACGGGACTCTGTGGCACTGGTCTGCGCTTCGCTACCCTGCAAGACAAAAGGTAGACCATGCGTGCAATTTAGTTCGTATAGGTGTGCATAGATGAGAAGCTTTTGACGTGCATGAATCCTACCTTCATCTTCAAGTGCCGACAGCTGTGAGACGAGCGCCTTGACACGTCCGCTGGGTCCTCTGCCGGAGTAGTGCGCAATGAGAGCTCTGTAGTAGGAAGCCTTAACGCTAGCTTTCAGAAAAGCTCGTTCCGTGAACCACACCTCGTCGCTCTCGGCCAGGGCGAGCTGCAAGTCAGTGGAAAGAGGTGGAGATGGCGAAGTGGCTGCAAGCCAATGTATATATAGTGCTTGAAAATTGGACGCTAAGTAAAGCCATTTATGCAGCCGCGCCAAGGCCTGCCTGTGTTGAAGCTCCAATATTAATAATAAATGATATAAGTAAGGCTCCATGTTTTTTGATAAATCCGAAAGAAGTTCGATAAACATTCGCTGGTAAAATGTTCTGAGCACCACCGTGGTGGTCTAGTGGCTAAATTACTCGGCCGCTGACCCGCAGGTCGCGGGCTCAAATCCCGGCTGCGGCGGCTGCATTTCTGATAGAGGCGGAAATTCTGTAGGACCGTGTGCTCAGATTTGGGTGCACGTTAAAGAACCCCGGGTGGTCGAAATTTCCGGAGCCCTCCACTACGGCGTCTCCCGTAATCATATGGTGGTTTAGTGACGTTAAACCCCACATATCAATATCAAATGTTTTGATGCTTTGAATTCATCTGATAAGCTCTGATTTTAATAGGGCATTTTTTTCAACGTTCAAAGGACATTTTCAGATCTGACCATCATCAATTGAAAGAGGCACACCTTCATCAGCGACAACACCACCGTAAGGTATGCTTTCGTTTATTACAGAAAGTTTTTGAGGTTGTAATACGACTGCGGGTATGCGCGTCGACTTCTACGAGTACGCCTGCGGCAACTACCGGGGCGGCTCCGTCTCCGACATGTGTGGTCAGAATACCTCTACCGGGGCGGCTCCGACATGTGTGGTCAGAATACCTCTAGCAAGACGGAGCCGCCCCGGTAGTTGCCGCAGGCGTACTCGTAGAAGTCGACGCACGGGTCGTGGTTGGCGTCCACTTGGCGACGTAAATAGTCGGCCAGAGACCGGCAGTCGGTCGTTGTGCATGGCTCCAGTGGCGACGGTTTCTCTGTTAGCGCGCTTGGCGTCGGTTTGGCAGTCGGCTTTGCCATCGCAGTAAGATATACGGGAAACACAAGCAGAAATAAGTTACACTGCTGAGGGCTAAGCTGAAAGCAATCTATAAAGCCTGTCCGTTTAATAAAATATTTGAGTGGGACAATCATTGTCAAACAAACAGACTCGTTGTACATTCAAGGCGCAGATTCATGCCGTGCATTCCCAAAGAACACTCAAGAATTATTGAAGCGGCGCACTTGACTTAAATATTATGAAATTCTGGAAAGTATATTGACGCAATTTTCAGCTTGTGACACCGGAAAATTGAGACGAAAGAAGCGGGCCCGGAGTGCCACCCCCTGGCTACACCACTTGGACACAGAGACACAGCGTTGTGTCTCCTCTGAATCTGTTGCCGTCCGTGTGTTTTTTTTTTTTTTGCGCTGCCATTCAGAGTTAATGGGCCGTATCACCGAGCCCTTCAGTCTGTTTTTTTGAAGCTTCACCTCCCGTTCCTACCACATGGAGATCATTCACACTCTTAGGAGAATATTCAAACAAGCAACTTCAGGGTGCTCACAAAACTGAGTACAAAAGATAAGGAATAGTGTCAGAGCGCTGGTTTCTTCGTTAGACACCACTGACGGCACCAGCAGATTTAGTTAGGGCTTGAAATTGAAAGCCGTTGAAATAAACTGAAAGGAATTAACGAGCACAGAAAATCACCCTTTACATCAACGGAATATGAAGTCCCTGCATTATAATTACAAAAGGGTTGTTTTGTCTCCTTCTATTTTTTTCAGTGTAAGTTAAAATAATTACGCTACAGTTAAGAAAGAGTTTCCGAATAAAGTACGCAAAACTTTGCGTACGCTATTCATTGCGGTCACTGCCACTGCTCATGCCCCATCACGCTAACCACTATTAGCGTTTGCGGTCCGTCCGCAGGAGATCCGAAGTAGCGTGCAAAGCGTGCGTCACCGTTGGCAGGCGACAAAAACTTTTCTAAAATGCTAACAATACGCCCGAAAACTTAGTGTACGCTATTCTAAAACTCCCCGATGAAATAACAAATAACGTCCCCCACACTTTTGTTATCGTTATTACGTTATCCTAAATTTACATGCACGCGTGGTCGCTACCTGTGTTTTCCTAGACGCAGCTGTCCCTGCGGCCGTGAATTCTGTCTCGGTTTCGTCGGTGGTGGTGTCCTCCCGTGGTTCCGTGGTGACCGAAGGCACGGTCCGACTTCTCGTGGATTTCCTGTGTTCATGTGTCCCTGTGGGGCCGAAAAAACCATCATCCGTCCCGGTGGCCAGCTGGTTGCGCGTCCCACGTTTCGGGGAGGTCGCTTCGCCGTTTCCTCCGCTCGGTGCACCAGCAGCCGCAAGACATCAATACCCACGCGTTGATAATTATGCAAGAATTGATTTTTAGGCTAGTTGGTCGTGTATAACTCGCTGAGACATATCAACAAAAAACTAGTGCACGCGTGCTTATGCGTTTTTTTTACTGTTTGTCGATTTTGTTTTGTGCGCTATTATGTCTTAGACAGCTACACGTGTTGTTAATAAACACTCTTATACCCCTTAAAACGTGGTGATTCAAAGGAGGCGGGCTTGGACGAGCTCAGAAATTCAGAGATGCCTCTCGTTTGCGGAACACCCCAAAATATCCTACAGATGCTGAATTCGAAAAAAAGAAACAATGGAAACAACCGATGCCGAATAAAGGTATTGCGCAAAAAAACGTGACTGATGCCCTTATCTAAGAATCAGTATAACACGAAACTGAAACGCGAATTGACAGAGGTAGTTGAGCGTTTATGGTGCATTGTTTGAGCAATAGCAACAAATTGCTAAGTCACGTGAATAACTGCAAGCAGCTCGAAATTGCAGCGCACACCTCAAGCAGAAAGCACGCACGAAATAGCATACACAGGACAAACGCGGACTAACAACTGTCACAGCTTAACACTTAAAGTGCCCTGTTCAATTAGAAAGAAACACTTACAAAACGAGGGCACAAGGATACGCAGGACTAGCGCGAACAACTGTCAGAACTCTTACTTCGCCGTGTCTCATCGGCGCACTCCTTTCGTAAGCGCCGCCGGCCGCGGCAGCGAGGAAAGTGACCTTCGTCCTCTCCAGAATTACGAGTCTATAAGCGCGCACGCAGGTGAGACCACGTTACGTGGAGGCGGCGCTCAGTGGAGGCGACGACCTTTAAAGCGCGCCCAATGCGAGCCCGTCGCGCCATCTCGCTACTGATAACGAAAACTCGCTAAAGTTTCAGAGCTCTGAGAACTGACGACTGATGTAGGGTGTATATACATGGCTTTCCATTAGCACTCTCGACAACGTTCGGTCTGTGGCATGGTGTCCAGTGCCGCGCACTGCGTATCAAGAGGTTGCTTGTTCGACGCCGCGTAATAGAAATTTGCTTCTTGTTTTTTTTTTGTTTGCAATGCGTTAGTATATATTTTACAAGGTCACATCCGTGACGTAAATACGTCAGCAGATTCGTGGCGGACCTCGACGTTAAAAAAAAACAGCCATGTTAAAAAAATATTCACACCATCTTCCCAAAGGGAACGCTGATGGGATGTGAAGCAGCAGCGTTGCGCACAGGTGGCGTCGCGGATTGAACAGCGCTAACGCGGGTGCTGTGGTGAGTGCTAGAAGATCCACGAGCGGCGGTCACGGTAGCGGAGCGTGCGGCGGTAGCGCCGAGTGTTGCGGGCGAAAGGGCGAGGCGGGCGCTGTGGCGAGCGCGCTGCCGGGGAGGGAGACAGTGACGTCAGCGCGCACAAACAACTGCAGCGCTCCAACAACTGCGTCGAGGAGAGCGCGTTGCAGCATGTTCGTATGGACGCACGGAGGGACATCGTTACACAAGCTGGTGAAAGAGTTGCTTCGCATCTAAAAATTAACCACCACGCGATGAGGATGACGGCGTGGCTGTATGGTATTTGCTTTAGTGTTATTTCATAGTAGACGCAGAGATAATCGCTTCGTGCTCACGTTGGTGGATCATCATTGGATCAGCGACCTTTTTCAACTAGGCGACTTTGTTTCTTTCATCGAGCAATGTATTCCCGCGGCAAGGAAGGGCCGTTTTAAGTCACTTGAAGTCTTGTGTCAGCTGCAAAGCAGCTACACCTAATTCTTACGGGAACGTGCGAGAAGGTGTTCCGATGCCAGAGGTGCTTTATCATCCAGCGTGTGATTTTGATGCTTGCTTTGCGGTTTGCTTCATTGAAATGAATGCCGAGATCTATGCTGAGCTCCCGATTGCAACGTAAGATATGCAGTTTGCCTTCAATTGTTAAAGGGCCCCTAAAGATTCCAGAGATCGAAATTTAGTTCTCATGTTGCAGTTGTGTACGAGTCTCTGGCGAATGCGCTTGTCGGCTCGTCAGGCCACCTCTTCGAATTCCCTTCCTGAGCGCTCTGATAGTGGAAGCACACGAACGCGAGCTTTATGAGCCTGGTGTTCTGTTTTTAGTTCACGGAGACGAAAACATTCCGGGGTAGAGATACGCACTTTCACTATAAAACAACGCAAACTGCTAAGCATCGGAATGATAAGCACTGAAAGCAAGATGTGTGGTGCTAAGCACTAAGGGCAGCCACCTACTACAATCATATCGGGATGAGTCTGCACAAGATTTCTTACAGCAGAAGCTTTATACAGATGGCTCGCATTGACGTCGCTGAAACATCCATGCTGAAGCACTAACATGACGGGACGCGAACTGTGTGACATCACGTTTGTGTTATCAGTACATCGAAAGCCCATTTCACGCACGAGCCCCAATGTTCGGGCGACGTCGTTATCACACTGACGCCGGTCATTCAGCACGTGATTACCCTGCCCTAACGTTATTTAAGTCATGTTATAGCCATGTTGTGCTTCTGTGACGTCACGTGCGAGCTAGCAATTTACGCCCCATCAAACGCCAAAAGTTATCGTCGGCGTAAAGACGAACAATGCAAGAAGTCGAGCGTTCACTGATAACGGTGTGGTGACGTCACAACCCCCGAAGTATGTGACGTCATTATCACGTTACAAAATATGACGTCCTTACAACTTGGCCAATGTTGGCAGATCTCGGAGGCAGTGGAACTCCTTGTAAGGTGCAGAAATCTTCAGGCGAAGGGGGGTGGGACGTACAGTAAGATTGACGTAGCAGAAAAAGAACACGAATAAGATGGCTCGCGCCTTCCTGTCGTCTTGGGCGAATGCATAAATAACTGTGGGACTATTGGTGAGCATTATGCGTATTCCGCAGGCTTAACATACAAGCCTTGTGTACTCTTAAAAAGCGCGACATACGTTCAGGGCATAAAGGCTCTAAGATAGTTTGTCTACATGATTGAATCACTGCGTTTCGCTACCCGTGACCTCATTCTCGGTCAACTGCCGTAAATATACGAAAAGGCCGTCAAACACTCCGTCTCTATCTGCCTCGTACGTCTTACTGCAAATGGGCGCTGCTTTTTTCCGCAACAGATTTCATCAAAGGACACGCTGAGCTAATGTAAAAAAGGGGGTTAATCTCTCATTATTTCTGAAAGACCATTTACATAGGCGACTCTCAGAGGTTCCGCGACCAAGTTTGTGGTAAAAGGTTTAGCGTACTCCGATCGCAACGCGCTTTGTCACAAATCGTCGCAAATGCTATGAATGATGGCACAGTGCTGGAGAGACACGAAGTAGAACACGACAGGACGTGCGCTCTTTCACGTCCTTTCTTTCCATCTGACGTCACTTACAGTAAAAAACCAACTAGCGCAGAAGTCCCGACTTCTTCGTCGGAAAATGTCGCGTCACCTTCAATAGTGGCCGATGTCAATGGGCCCTCACGCACTTGCGCCTGGTGCTGCCGGAACAATGATGGAATCGTCTCACTGTTCATAAAGCTTCCAACGAAGTAAAACAAATAGGGAACGCCAGCCCATTCCTCATAGTGATCGTACAAGGGCGCTATGTCTGCCTCACACCTTTAGTCAGTCAGAACTATCTCGTTACTGCTTAATTATTGTGTCGG